AATATCTTAATTTAATAAATTTACAACACTTTTATTTGGCTTTTTAAAATTTTTTTGCCAATAACCTTTTTCAAAATTTTTTTTTAATAAAAAATTTCATACAAAAAAAAGACAATTGATGTAGGGATGACAAAACAAATTCAATGGATTTTGATTTCTCTCAATCCAATAGGTACATTATATTTTAAAATTGAAATTAGGTTGGAATTTTTCTAAATCGGATAAGGGTAGGAGATAGATTTGGGATGTTCCATCTCATCTTCGGCATATATTAAAAATATATATTTTATTATTTAATTAATTTTATATTTATATATTTATATTAATAAAATTATTAGTTAATATTTTATTTTAATAAGTTATTATATTTATACATAATTAAGATATAATTTATAAACAGTATACTAAATTAAAATTATCGAATTAATTTTGATTAATTTGGAATGGATGCGAGTTATACATATATGTGATAGGTTAAAATCATATATCATTAATGATAACTTAATGTCTAGTCGAAATTGAAGTAGAGTTGAATTATTTTATTATTATATTTATACATAATTAAGATATAATTTATATTAAAAATTAAAATGTTTATGAATATTATACTAAGTTAAAATTATTGAGTTATTATTTTTTAATTTGGATTGGATGCAAATTATGTATATATGTGATAGGTTGGGACTAGATATCAATTAATGATAACTCAATGTCTGGTTAAAATCAAAGTGAAATTGAATTATTAAAAATTCGAGTTAAGAGTCAAGGTGTGTATAAACCCACCCTGACTTGACTTCTTTTCTATCATTAAAAGATAGTGTCCATGTATCTTCCATTAAATTGACTATTTTTTTTGCTTGGGCCATTTTTTAGTTTTAAACCTTTTTTTTGTTTTTAATTGTCTATTTTAACATTTTTTATCTATGTTTTGAAAGATAAATTAACAATAGAATTGTTTAGGTAGCAATCCTATTTAGAATTTTTTTTTACCCTTCCATTCCTTTTTTTTAATTTTTTTAAATAAAATAAATTTTGTAAGAAATTGGATCAATAGATGTTAAAATAATTCGTATTTAATAGGTTTCGATTAACCAATTCAATAGTGATGGTTTTTCTTTTTTGAACTTCAAGGTAAGGTTGGAGATAAATTTAAAGTGTTTTTCTTTGTCTCATCTTATGGTATACAGTAAAATATATATTTTATTATTTATTTATTTTAATTTATATATTTATTATATTAATAAAATTATTATTTAATAAAATACTATATTTATATGTTGGGTTAGATTGGGTATAAAAAATAATAATCCGAGATTAAGTTGGAGTTAGGATAAGCATAACATGCTCCTACTCGTCCAGTGTCATCTTTAAGTGGAAGTGTACTTGGTAAATTCATTTGGGTCATTTTTCTTTTTTTTTTTTTTTGCTTGGCACTTTTCCTTTTTTAAGTTTTAGATTTTTTTAAAGTTTTTAAATTATCTATTTTAATATTTTTAACTATATTCGAAAATATGAATTTGTATTTGATTTGTTAACAAGTTCTGTAAATAAAATAAAGATATTATCCTCAAATTAATTAATAAATTATTATAAATCATTGTTTTTATTAAGATATTATAAAAAATTATATTCATTGATTTATTAAATTTATTTAACTATAAATAAAAAAATTTTAGATCTATAAAAAAGTGTGGGTATATTGCTAGTATAATTACAGATGGCGGAGTTGTAGAAATATATAGTCTAATGGCAATAATATATTATTTCTTTGTGTCATATCAATGTTGGAAATCATTATTAATTCTTTTTAATAGTTGAATAATAAGGAATTGTTGATTGTCAAACTTTACTTTTATTTGCAGGTTGTGTTCCCAGGCTTAGAGCAGTTGCATCTATATTCAATCCCAGCGAAAAAACCATGGCATGAGCAACTTTCAGTAACTTCTTTTGGTGGTCAAAATTTAACAAAGTTGGAAGTGTACGCATGCTATTATTTGAAGAATATATTTACTTCTGCTATGGTTGAAAGCTTTGTGCAACTGAAAACACTTAATATTGAAAGATGTAATGAACTTGAAGAGATAATAATAGTGACGGAAGGATTAGTAGAAGAAGAAGAAAGGATGAGGAAATTGGTGTTTCCTAAATTAGACCGCTTGAAGCTCAGGAATCTTCCTAAGCTCAAAAGATTTGGCTTTGGAAATCCGATTGAATTCCCCTCTCTAACATATCTGTATATAAAAGGATGTCCTGTTTTGAATACAGTCCATTTTGATTCTACAAGTGTGGGAACAACTGTTGGAAATGAAGCAGGAAAGAGCAGCATCTCAATGGAGAACCTCCACTCGGATGTCTCAAAATACCTATTCAGTGAAAAGGTATTTTTTTAATGTCTCCCTCCATTGCTCTAATATAAACTTAAAATTTGTTTCAAATAATTAAACTCATTTAAAAATTGATAGGTAAAACTATATGTTTAATAGAAATAACACCTAATTATTAATTACATCATTCGATTTTAAAATTTTATTTTTGATTTCAATAATCTAATATAAGGTAAATTACTTATATTGCTAATTGCTAATGAGATTCCTAGCCCTAAACCCTAAAGAATGATATTAAATGCACCTTTTTTTTTGCTCTTCTTATGCTATTTTTTCTTCAAATCTTTTTTAAAATAAAATTACTTAATTACTCTTTTTCATAAGTTTCCTGATATTTATATTCAACAAGTTATACAATTTTTCAAATATTTATTTTAAAAAATTTATTAAAAAAATATAATTAAATAATTTTACTTAAGGAAATTTTAAAAAATAGGGTATAAAGTAAAAAATAAGAGTGTATTAAACACCCCTCAATCTTAAATCTTAATAATCTTTGGATCAAAATTTTAAAAAATAGATTGACGTGTTTTGAAAAAAAATAAAATAAAAAAGCATTTAATGGCAACATAATAAATATTAGAATAAAATACAATAATTTGTTTACCAAGATAGAATATATAATTTTATAGTATAACTTTGGATTGATCTATAATTTAACTAGAGAGGTACCTTTAAACTTCAATAATCAGATTTTATTTTTTTTTAAATGTATACTTTACTAGTTTTTCAATAAAGTTATATGCATTAAAAAATTATTTGAATTCTAAATTTTTGTAAAAGTTTATGTGTATCAAAAGTTAGAAAATGATTGTACTTTTTTTTTTTAACAAAAAAAATACGTTAATAATAATGACATACTCAAATCAGCTAGTACTATATAAGTATACATGATTCAATAATAAAAAAAAAGATCACTACTTATATTAAAGATATACTTTTTTTAAATTTCTCTTTTTATTCCACCATATTACAATCGTTCATTTTGATCCCTTTCAACAACTCATCCTCCGTCCCATTAACACTTGCATGAATTGTGCAGTTGGCATTCCCAAATCTACAACAACTTCACCTCGGATGGGATGATGGGATGAAAGAGAGATTGCATGGCCTACGACTTGCATCGGACTACTTTTGCAAACTAAAAGTTCTCGGACTTGTACGGTTTCCTCAACAATTAGCCATATTCCCATCTTACCTGTTCCAATTACTATCCTTACCCAATCTCGAAAGCCTTCAAATAGAACGTTGTTACTTTGAAGAGTTGGTATTCCAAAGTGAAGGAGTTGGTGGTGAGGAAAAGCCTGCATCTGCATCGATGGCACTCTCTCGGTTAACTGAATTACGGCTTTCTAGTCTCTATGAATTGATGCATCTATGGAAGGAAAAGGAAGGATTCCAAAATCTAAGGATTTTACATGTGGAAGGGTGTCCCAAATTAAAAAGTAATTTAGTTCCATCCTCAGTATGTTTCCAGAATCTGATGACTCTTGAAGTATATGAATGTGATGGGATCATAAAATTAGTTACACATTCAACAGCCAAAAGCCTAACGCAGCTCAGAGAAATAAGGATAAATTATAGTAGAAAGATAGAAGAAATAATAGAAGGTAGCGATGAGGATCGTGATGAAGTGAAGGATGAAATCATTTTCCCTAAACTCAACCTTTTGAAACTGAGTGGGCTATCAAATCTAGAAAGCTTCTGCTCATCAGGGAATCAAACCTTTGGATTCCCATCCTTAGCAACAGTAATTGTAAACAATTGCCCAAAGATGAAGGTGTTCTCTAAGGGAGGGTTAAACGCTCCGAAGTTGCACAAAGTACGAACATATGGGTGGGCAGATGAAGGGGATTGGATTTGGGAAGGAAACCTTAATAGCACCATACAAAAACTGTTCACGGAAAGGGTATGTTTTTTTTCAAATTTCTTTGATTATCATTGACAAAGAAAATTTGTGGTTGGGAACGTTGATGACGACTCCATTGTAAATCAAAATTAATTCATCTTTTCGCCTTCATGACCAATTAATATTAATTGTTGTTGGTGATTATTATATATATGTAGAAACCCGTGGAGGAAATGGAGTATTCTATAGAATATCAAGACAATCCTTCAACTTCTAACACACAAGTAAGCCAAATTTCATTCTATAAATCTTCACTGCCATTCATAATAATATAGCTTTTGTTTCTTTCAACTCAAATGCTTTACTTTTCCTCATCAATTAAGTAGGAGTTTGATGCCTCCTTCCTACTTCATATTTCTCTTCTCATTATAATATTATTTAATTTTTAAACAGTTTTTCCTTTCTATTTTCATCAGGATTTCTATTTAATTTACTCCTTTTAGGATTTTCTAGAGCAACCGAAATAGATCATTGGATTTTCTTTTTAAAATACTTTTGCTTTTCAGTAATAATGTTCTTTATGGTTAGAGAATGTTTAAATTTATAATAAAATAAAATAAGAAGAGGGATTATGGTGATGATCTTCAAATGGCAAGCGTGGCAAGGTAGGAAATTGTTGAAAATGTGTATTTGAGACACCTTGACTCTTGTTTCTTCATTTGAAATCAGAATGGCTTTGTTATCATTCATTATGATACTGATTCTTCAAAGAGTAACAAAAGTAATTTCCAGTAATTTTCCTCTTCACCTTCACTAATATTTGTTCATTATGATTTCATAATCCAGTCAACATAGTCGAGAATTTCGAAGAAGATCAGCTCAATCCTTCAATTGCCAAGAAACAGAGTAAGTGAAAAAGTCTTTCTATGCATCTTGAGACACTATAGCTTATGTAGTACTCATCTAATGCAAATGATTTTTCTTTCCTTGAATAAGTTAAGTTCTTCATTTGAAGGTGTTTTCTTCATCTCAAGTGCAGAAGTGCAAGGGTTCTAATTCCTATTTCCTTCACGGCTAGCATTTATGTGCCTTGGCACAGTGAAGTAAACAATGTATGTATTTTGAGACATCATTACTGATACTTCGTCATTTGAAATCAAATGGTTATAAGATTTCTTTATTATAATGCAAGGGCTCTTTAAGATGAAATAATGGTACTCCTTTTTTTCGTTTCTTTTGATTGTCAATTATCATATTACTAAAGGGCAGTGCTGCCAAGCTATTCTGTCTCTAAAGACAAGTTTAATCATGCTGCATTTGATCAACCTGTAAATGGTTGCAGCTTCTTTCTTTTAGTCTTTTATGTTTCTATGGTGACTAATTATAGCTTGTCATTTATTTGATCAACCTTGGAAGTAATAACATATGTACTACTTTTCTATTTTTAATGATCTGGGTGTCGAGAAGTTATGGATGACAACAATTCTGAAGTCAGAGGATAAGGAGAAATATTATGAAGTTCAGGATCACATACTTATTTTGAAATTTCAAGGATTTGCCACTCTCCCTTTTTGGGAAGGTACAAACTATTTCATGTTGAAACTTGAAAGAAAGTTCAATTCATATTTATTCTGGAGGCTCAAATTGATGGTTTTTGTTTGGGCTGGCTGATGGTTTGTGTTTGTTTACAGGTGATTTTCTGCTGCATTGAACCAATGGCAAATTCTTGAGTCCATTGGGTGCCCCAAGGTGTGCTGTGCCTACAACAGCTTGTGAATGGGCAATTTATCCATCCTGACTATAACCTGCTCTATTCTACTCGACTCTTGTGCCGAGTTCCATGCTACCTTAGTGGCACTGTTCAGAAGCATGATTTGATGGATCATGGTGAACAAGGTTAGTCGTTTTCTTTGGCCTTAGGCAATTTATATGCTTATATATTAATTATCACTTGATTTTTCCCCCCACAATCTGTGATTGACATTTCTTATCATCAATGTGAATTGTAAATAGAGCATTCAATTGTCAAGGAGGCGGATGGTACAAGGAAATTGGGCAGAACGAATGGCCCTTCCAATTTTCTCATATGGTAAGGGTTAAGGCCAATTACTCCTACTGATTGAATGGAAAAAGGGGAAAGAATCCGATCGCCATTGAAGGTTTACAAAGCATTTGCTTCCTGTCAAGTTAGGAAGCTGGTCCTTATCAAACTTTATCAAAGGCTTGCTAGTTTCATTTCATTAATTGAAAATATATACAAGTCAAACACTTGCAGGAAGGCCCAATGACTGAGAACATGTTGAAATGGAGCAGTTATTTCTGATTTTCATTTTGGGCATTTTCTATCAGCATTGACATAAACAGAACAACCTGCAGCAAGGACCTTGGTCCGCTCAATACACTATAAACCAAGAGTTTCCAAGAACAAGGAACGGAAGATCATTGATCAAGTACAATAGTTTTTATTTACAATAGACATCAGTTTTAAAGTTGAATTATTTTTTTTGTAATTTTCTTGAAGGATTCTCTGGTTTCGAATCTTATAAAAAGTGTCTTATTTTGTCTTAAACACTAACAAGTAACTATGAAAATTCAAGTTAATGAAGTTAATTTCTTCTATTTGCAGCTTGGACAATTTTTTTTTTTTACTATTGAATCAAAATAACTAAAATTAAAAATATTACTTTGAAACAAATTAGTCAAAAATTTAATTTTAATTCAATGATAAAAAATATAAAAATACACTAATGTAATTGAATCCTTACTCTCTCCCTATAAATAAATAAATAAATATATATATATATAATATTCAAACAGAAAACAAAAAAGCTTGAAGTAGCTAGTGTAAAATTAAAATGATATAATAAGCAGAAATAAGGCATAGAAATACAATGGTCACATTGTTTTCATATCCAGAATATTCTTTTGGTTCAATCATATTCTCAAGCTAAAATAACGGAAAATATCTTCCACAAGGTTGAGTAAAGCATCAAAATGAATGCAATTTATTCAGTCGAGATAAACTTTGATATCAATTCCATTATCAAAGAGCAACTGAACCAATGCTATGATTTTTCCTTCAAATTTGTCCTTCTCCTTGGGAGTATAAGAAGTAGTATATACATCAGCTTCTCTGGCACTCTCAGCTAAAATCCTTCCAATTGCCAAGCAAGCAGGAATGTCTGGCCTTGATCCCAGTACTGCTTTAGTGTCTTTAGAGTTTGTGCCAGCCACAGCAACCTGCTTACATGTCACCCTATGAGTGAGGGAAGCAAAAACAAAGTGTTTTGAGACGACGACATTAGGTGTAGATGGCTCCATGTAGGCCTTTAAATGACATGTTTATTTGGATTCTTCGACTTTTTCTCTTTTTGGTAAGTGTATAGCCTGCAACCATCCTCATTAAGAAAATCCTTAAAAACACAACATGATAATTTCACTGGCTCATCAGTTTGCATGTCAAAGAAAATGTCTGAAGAAATTAAGAAATTTCAATTGTTAGATTCTCCTAAAGGACCTTTTGAGTGTACACATATTTCCTCAAAAGAAGTAAGAGAAACAACCATGATGCCAAGAACATAGATCAATCAATATCAGTTTGTAATTACATTTCTAAGACATATCCATCCATGTCTTGCTCAGATGAAACAACCACCTTCTTCTTTGTTAATCATGAATATGCATATATATTCAATAAGCAAAATGCTCACAGAAAGTAATACTAGTAGCGGTAATTGTAGTAAACAAAGAGGGAGATAATGGAATGGCAAAAAAGTACGTGGCAAAGAAGGCTACAGTGTTTGCAGACCAACCAATTGCAAAAGACTTCCAAAAGAAAGGGATTATAGCATGTAGGAAGGGGATGATGAGAAAGAGATAATTAAAGAGCTTGCTTCTTTTTCATTCTTTGAGCAATCCCTGGCTTGAAGGGATGGAATTGATGTAAATAGGCAAGAAGTAACTGAATAATGTTGTTTGTAAAACACGCAATAACTTCAATAGAAACCCTTTAAGCACAGCATGCAACAAATTAGTAGTATTAAGTAAAAGCTTTAGGACTAACTCACTGAACATCCAAACGTACCACATGCCCATCAATCTCCAAATATCAGGTTCATTAGATGGAAATATGAGATTGAAAGACAAAGCTCCACACAACAGCAATGAGACATAGCCTTGAACCTCAAAAACGATAAACAAGGCAGCTCTTGGCACAGCAGGGTTTTTAGTAGCCATGGAAGCCCCCGGTGCAAAGGTTGCAGCAGTCTTCTGAACCACCTGTTGTCAATATAGCATACAAACATCCTCAAAATCGACCATTTCTCCATGTAAAACGAGGCCAACTTGAAAAAAAAAAAAAAACTTTTTGAGGTCCTTGTCAAGAGATTTAGAGGAAGGAGAGGAAGTAATGGAGATGTTGTTGCTTTCTTTTTCAGGTTCAGATTCTGAAGTTTCATCTTTGGGTTCTTACTCTACTGTTTCTGTCCGAGTATCTACTTCATTTGTTGCATTGGCATTTCTGCAGCGGAGAAACTTGGGATTGTTGTTGTAGTCCTTAAAAACTTCTTGGTGCACAATGAACCTTAAAAAGGGTAAATATTGTAGTCATTACCAAAAATTAGACCTCACAATCTAAAACATGATATAATATCATAACATGAAAATCACACAAACAAAAGATAAAGATGACATGGTTTAAAACTTTAACAAAAATTATATATGAGTTTAACAAAACAAAAATATATATTTCTTGTTTTTTATGTCAACATAAATTATGACACGTAATTTTCATGTAAAATATGACACGAATAGACAAATTACTGACTTTATCAAAAACAAACCATTTAGTTTGAGTCAATTAGTCATTGTGATTTCTTAAAAGTTTGGAAGTGAATCTAAACTTTTCTACCTAATGAAGCAACATTTAACCATGGTTTGAATAACTGAATTCCATATACGAACTATTAGAAACAAGGTTATAGGCATCAGAACAGCTTGATAGTTGTATATTCAGCAATAAATTTTGGAAGAAGGGAATGAAGTAGATATTTTGAAGGAACAATGACATCATCAAATTAGATTCACATAACGTTCTTTCAATCAACAAATCAAATAAATAGGGACGTATGAACAGATTATGTACATTCCCTCCCTCATCATTTCTCTTCTCTTAACCAATTTCAGACCCCTCCAAGCAAGCCATGCTGAATGTTTCGCTTCAAGTTTTCAATAAGGTATATGTTACAATAAGTTTTAAATCTTTCCACCCATTATGGAACATTAATAGCATCATAAAAAGGCAAAAAATTTGGGCAAAACCAAAACTTGATCGAACTGGATTCTGCTATATGATTATGAGTGTTGAAAGTTGAAAAAACCCAACTTTTAAATAGAACTTAAGAACTCTTAGCTAACTAAATTTCAATCAAATTCATCAATTGAATTATTTTATGCATCATACACATAGATGACTTCACAAAATATATTGCAAATAAGATTTCCAACGTTTCTATGTCTTTGTTTCTTGAAATATCAAACAATGAACACAATTTCTAGAGTTAGGACATCAATTAGTAAATAAGTCAAATACTATATACAACTTAAGATAATTACTTTTTATGTCTACTTAGATACACTGTTAGATAATAAATTTACCATATTTTATCATTTTCAAAAAACTACATAGGATCGAGTGAAGTTGATGCTTTGGAACATCCAGGTAGGAAATCATCGTGTAGTTAGTTAGAATTGAAGGTCAACTAAGTTAAATTTTTGTAAGTGAAATTTTAATTTAAATCTTCCTCCAACAACAAGGGCTAATAAGTAATAATTGGTCATATTATTATGGCAAAAAAAGAAAAAAAGCTTTTGGAAAGTAAATATCATTGAACTTATAATTGAGCGTCCAGTTGGTTGGCATCAGTAAATTTGAGTTTAAATTCTAATATATACAATTATTTTAAGTTAAATTTATGTAATAATTTTTTCAGCGAATTTGAGATTCAAATTTCTATACCTATATATTTTTTTCTCAATCTCCATGCTATTGTTTCTTTATATAAAAAAGTGAACCTTCAAAGAAAACAAAGATAAGAAATATTTTCATTTTCCATGTAAATTAATGACCAAAACTTGAATAAATAAATAAAAAAAAATCTTGTCCAAGAATAAGGGCTTCAGATTGACTAAATGAATCCTTTTCCATGGTACTTGATCTATCTACTTCTTAATGTTACAATATTCTGTGTGATGTAATACATCCGAACTCTACCATAATGATCTCTCGCGTTAACTCTTTAGGCGCTGCAAAACAGAACCAAAAAATTGACCTCATTTAAACCATATTAAGAAATTTGAGAATATATATTGCACCTCAAATTATTCAGCTGTATTAGGAAGTAATTTTGAGGAAGAATAACTCAGATTGTCACCAAAAAACCTGAACTTGACGACAATATATGGTAAAATTAGAAACCAGGATTCTTGGAAGAGGTTCAAAATAGGATATCTCCTGCCAATTTATCTCAAAATTGCCTTTTTTGTACATAAAAGTTTGGGGTGGGGAGAAGCTTTCTCATTTGAAGACAGGGTAGACCGTATACCTTAGAAAGGACTTATATTAGATTTGCAAATCATTCTCCAAAGGAGAATGCTAACAGTGAGACTCGGACTTAAACCTTACAAGCCCTTACAACTCAACCAAAGTAGTTTTTCCACATCATAAACTTGACACATTGATCCAACTATTGAAATAAAGATGGGATTCACTACTCACTGGAAGCTTTTATTTTTCATTTTCAATAATGTCATGACTAAAATTAAACAGCAAAAGATCAAATTGGTTGAACCATGAACTAACATTTTGCAGCAAAGATCTAAGGATGGTTTAAAAGGTCTAAAGTTTCTAATTGATTTAATTAGAAAATAAGTGTCCAGAGTGGTTATGATGTAGTTTAAGGTCCTGAAACAGATAGGGAAGGAAGAGATTCATGAGATACCTTCTCGACCAGTGAAGAGATTAAACTGACCAATAGCTTGTCTGAGGAACATTTCAACTCCACCGACAATGATCACTCCTGCTGCCTCGGCATCTTTCAATAGTCTTGTTTTCCTTGGTGTGTAAACAGCGTCAAAGACCAGCTCATAATCTCCCAAGGTTGCCTGGAATATGAAAGGAAATAACTTCAGCAATGAAACAAAATTGAATTTTATGCTTCAGAAAAGAAATGGCACTTAGTGATGGAAGGTGGAGACCTCAGCAACAGGAATGCGCTGATCTGTATTCGGATGCATTCCTAGGGGTGTTGCATTTGCAAGGATCGATCCTTGCTCTGACTGGAAGTTAACTACTTCTTCAAAAGGTCGAGCTTCACCCGAGACAGCACAAGCAAGGGACTTTGCTCTCTCTTTTTCCACGAGCAATTAAGGGTTTTGATTATCTACTCATAATGTTTATCCCTAATGCTACAACACTGTACTACAAAGGAGTAGGCAGAAGATATAGTTGACAATCGTATCAGCATACAGGGAAAAACCATGAATTCGCCTTTAAAGAATTGTTGATCACATACCAAAATCAATGTCAAAAATGAATATTTGAGCTCCTTTGCTTTTAGCACCAAATGCCAATGCTCTTCCTGCACCTCCAGCACCAACTAGCACAAAGAGTTTCCCCGATATCAGACTGCCTAAAGATGCTTCAATACCAGTGCATCTCTTTTCTATTGTAGTTTGTAGTTTACAAGTACAAAAGTGCCAGGATATCAGCATCTAGAATGGACTAGTCATTGATCGATACAATAAACGAGGACATGATGAGCATTGTTTTTCTCATCAATGGAAGGTACCTTTTAGAGCATCCTCGATCGCAGTTATTGCAGCTTCGCAATCAGTATTATAACCTATCAGCTTTCCATCACAAGGCCTCCTTACAATAGTATTAACAGCACCTATAGACTAATGATGCATGAAAAAAAAATTGATTACATTCCCAAATATATCAATGTAGGAAACTGCGAGCGGATGCGACTAATAAGGAATTGAAGCACTAAGAATTCTGGATATAGGAAAAATCCTAGAATTGCGTCTATATGAAACTGTACATAAAGGAGTGGAAGAGAGCACAAAAACAAGAAACCTGAACAAATACATGGGAAATTACAAATTTCAAAAAGTTTGTAAGAATGTTGTAGTCAACCTCTGCAAGTGGATGAACTTCATCACAGAACTCAACTACAGCTTCCTTGTACGGAAACCCAACACTGCAATCCATGGGAATGAGGAAAATGAGAAGTTACATTTCATAGAATAGTGGAAAACAAACCTGGCTACATCATTCCAGGAGATGAAAATATGGGTAAGATATAAAGCAATTTATCAAAGAAAGAAGGCATTTAAATTTCAATATGTTGTAACTATCTGTAATCTTCAAATTCCGAAAAACAGTATTACTATATCAACTAAAGAACTAGTTGCAACATTAAATTTCCATACATCCATACTTTCTTTCTCCTAATCTGTCAAGGGCAGTTCTGGGCTTAGTTGTTGCTAGCTAAAATGTATTTGAACGCCTAAAAGGCCAAAACACACAAGTGTTGCTCATAAGAACAAATGCAGCT